AGGAAGTCACATATCAGATATGCTGCATATTAGATATTTATATTAAAATTCCTAACAGTAGCAAAATTACAGTTATAAAGTAGCAGTGAAAATGTTATGTTGGGGTCACCATCACATGAACTGTATTAAAGGGTCACAGCCTTAGGAAGGTTGAGAACCATGGCTCTAGGATGTCCCACACCATGTCACTTGGCTCAGACTTCCTCACAGACATCGAATCAATCACTCCACAGAGATTTAACCTCGTAAATATGTTTCACTTCCGCCCACTCCTTGCCGACCTTCCCCTGCCCTCAACACTCCCCTAATACAATCCACTGCCTCTTGTCCTCTCTCTCTCCCCCAAGTCACGGACTTCAGCCAATGGCTCCCTCTGGAAAGCCCTTCCTGGCCAGCCTAACCTAGCTAAGTCATTGGGTCAAACGATAGTCTGTCTATCACTTTCGAGATGATGCCCTCCCTTGACTCGCAGGCAGGTCCAGTTCTCCTGGTGTGTGACTGTCTTGCACCACAGGTTTCTCCTCCATGAAAAATGGATCATTTTACAACTGTACATCTGGTTAATAAATAATAGGAAGCATACTTAATAACTATTCCTTGGCTGAAGGAAGCATGAGGGCTAAGCCTGTCTCTACTTATCACTACGTTATTCTCACCCAAAGACCCCGACCTTAGTACATGCTTACTAAAACATCTTGAATTAATGAATGCATGCATAGTAACTACCCATTCAGGCTCTGTCTTCTTCAGAGGACTAGGAGGTCATATCTTCTGCCTTTTTCCCTTCTGGCATCTCAGCATTTAGCCTAGAGCCTGGCACAGGTTGAACTGCCCATCAATAACTGTTTAATGAACATGCCAGACTAATAAACAAAAAATGTTAAAACATAAAAGCAGTTTCTCTTCCTGGATCTTTGAGTGATTAAGAATTCCACTATTTGTATTGCTCGGGAGAATCAATTACCTCAACTTCCTGCAATGTTGTTAGATGAGAAGGGATTTGTTGAAATGAATAGGTGGCTCTGATAGCCTGCGGGTATTCACATCCAGCAACTAAAAACTGCTCCCTTTAGACAAATGCAACATGCTCCACTCACACACATGACAAAAATGAAAATTTGTCCACACAGATTTTTATTTAAACAGGAGCCTACCTGTTTAGAAGGAAAAGCAAATTAACTCCCGTACATTTCTGAGACTTTGATTTCCAATCCTGGATTCACACAGCACACGTACTCAAAGGATCAAAGCCTCACTTCCCAATCAAAGCCAGGTGAACAGAAAGAAAGCTAGTATTTAAATAACATTCCAAATCATCATTACCAACCTCCAGCTTGTCACTCTCAAAGTCCTTTTAATAGGCTTGGTTAGTCGAATAGGGTTATCCAAGTACTGCAGCCATAAACCTGTGTGGGTGTTTTAGGGGGCAGACACACAGACCCCAAAGCCCAAACCATCCCACACATTACAAGACATCTTCTGTTGACTACTGAACAGTAGCTTTTCTTCTCCTGCAAAGGCATGTAGATAGTATTTCAACAATAACCACACATGTCTCCCTGTGGTATAGACACATACAGAATGCATTAGGAAAAATGCCAATAACTGCAACACTCTGCTCTGTGGCTCTATTCAAGTGAGTGTCTCACAGGTACCGCAGAAGTGCACAGCTTTCTGAATCTGGTTCCAATGGGAGCTCAAAGTCAATAAGCCTCCTCAGCTATCATCCAGCATGACTAAATCACTCCAAGGGCAAACCTTTCTGAGTTATGTGACCATTTCTTTTGCAGAGTTTTACCGAAAACGGCATGCCATAAACCAATTTAATTCAAGGTAACCCAAGCTGCTGGATGAAAAGGAGCCCAAGAAATGAACAGAAGGAAGAAAACGCCAACGTTTCAAGTTACACAGGATCCTCAATCACACACTGAAATGAGCACAAATTAACAGACCAAGGGTTCCCAGGACCGATGAGGTACCCCTCCAAATATAATCCCCAGCTCCCATTATTAGGATAAACCGGCCATTATGTCGGGTTTTGCCTTTTAAAGAAGTAGAGCCAAGGAAATCCTTTAGTGAAGAGAATTACCTTGTGCCAGCACGTCAGAGGCTTCAATGATGTTCAGAGGACATCCCAGGATCCCTTTCATGTTGTTCTCGTGTGAGCCGAGGACAGGAGGATAGGGAATTCTCCACTCAGAAAATACTCAATTATTTTAACAGGATTACATTGTAGACTGACAATGCCTAAAATAGCCCCCTGAATTTATTAGCTTGCCAGCACTTCAAATAAGCAATTTTAATGCAAAGATCTTTTAAGTGTAAGTAAAGGGCTGGCAATGAGTCAAGAAACATCTCCTCCGGCTTTCTAAGCCAGGACACTGGCTATCAACTGGAAGTTCATGAGCTCAGAAGGAAGGACCTTCACACCCCGTTCTCCAGGCCTGTGATTTGCCACATTTTTAAAGACAGGACTTTCTCTGAACTTTCATTTTTCATTTGTCCATTTTGGTTTGAAAAGCATATTCGTCTTGATCAGACATAAGTTGACTGCAAGGTTCAACTGAACCTCTGACACAGGCATCCTGCACCTTAGGCCCTAATGCCTTCATATCACTTCAGCTCATCCCTTTCCTTGGCAATCAATATGTGGCGACAGGAGAGCTGCCTGCCACACGAGAGGCACCAGGCTCTGTCAACCAGCCCAGTGTTCAGTCCTTTGCTGCTCATCCATTTTCCTCCATATTACTCACCGTGTATGTGTGTGTGTGTGTGTGTGTGTGTGTGTGTGTATTTTCCTCACATAATGGTTTTAATTTAGACAAACAGTGTTAGAGGGTTCCCAAATGCATTCGTAGAACCCTGAAAACACCATTCACCTTCTTGATTGTCATTGCTGGTCTGTTCACAAACAGTAATTTTGTCTTTCATATTTAACCCCTACCCCCATTGGATTTGGGGTTCTCGCTTTTGTTTGGGAAAGGGAGATCCACCTAGCATCTTCTTCTTGTTTCTTTGGTCACATTCTTTCACTCCTGCACTCCTAAGGACTAAAATACAGCTGATATAGTAACAATGGCAAGGCATGTAGTTGGTTAGGTCTATCCCATGAGCCCAAGTATTAAACTTAATTCTCAGATGTCTTAGCTTCTCTGACTGATGATGTGGCAATTTATGTACTTAGTTATCAAGAGAAATCAATTAAAGGACCGAGGATGGTGCTTGCAAATTCATCTTGTGTTGCAGCCCACCACTGGGTCTAGAAACAGTGCTTCTTTGCACGACAATGTTTCTGAAAGAACTAGATTGGGCTTATTAATCATAGCTTTACCTCCTGTTTCTCACATAGAGCCTAAAGCAGTGGTTCTCAACCTGTGGGCTGCAACTCCTTTAGAGGTCACATATCAGACATCTTGCACATCAGATATTCTCATTATGATTCATAAAAATAACAAAATTATACTTATGAAGTAGCAAGGAAATAAGTTTATGGCTGGGGATCATGGCATTAGGAAGGTTGAGAACTACTGGCCTAGAGTGCTGCTGTAGCAGTATATTCCCTGGTCTTTCATTGGCCAGGGATAAGTGGGAGAGCTGCTTCAGAAAGGTCTCAGTCAGATTTGAGGCCTATCCCCTTTGCTCTGCCTCCTGTTGTCTTTGATGTTCTGAGCAGCACTGCGGGAGAGACATGAGAACAGCAGCATCCAAGCAAGTCTTCCTGCGAGTAGAATGGCTACTGGAGTCGGCCGAGGAGATTCAAAACCATATGATCCAATAACTTCTCAGCCTCCTGGCTCAAACCAAGTGAAGAACTGCAAAGACTAAGTAAAAACGTGTAGAACCAACTAACAGGTTCTACAGGACAGCACACCCTTGGAAGAAATGGCAGGGTAATGGTGAGAGATGGCAGGCTACCCAACTGCTGGGAAGGACAATGGCACCACACTGCTCTGGTCCCTCCCGGGTCTGAAGGTTCGGAAATGCTTTCTCATTTTTCTTCTCTTGCTGCTGGGTGGAAGTAGCAAGAGAAAGCTAAGCCTAGACAAACATGAGCCCAAGAGCAAACTCTCTGTTTTAAATTACACTTCCAAGCTGCATCTGCCCCAGACTCCATGTTGTTTCCATCCGATTTATTCTAGATATTTCTACACAGACAAATCAATACAAGAAGACATCTTCTTGCCTGGGAATTGCTTGTTTTGGTGGGTAACTACAGTTTCACAGTAAAAGAGCTATACAAAGACATGAACTCAACAGACAAGTCAACGCCCATTAAGATTGTCTTTCATCAGGAGACACTTCACTCCTAAGTCCTAAATAGGCCATAATTAAAACTACAAAGGAGAATTCCAAAGGAACTTAAAAAAAATGTGTTACTTGATGGTTTTCTTTTCTTAACGACCATTTTCTACTACAGACTTGATTTATGCATTACCATCTAAATGACACCTGTAACTGGAAGCTGCAGTATAGATTACACCTAACTCCATGGCAGAGGTGGAGAAAGAGGGAGGTTTGTAGAGGTGTCTCTCTTCTCAATCAAAAGAAGAATGTAATAAAGAAGGGAAAACAAAACAGAAGCCCCACTAATGACATACAGCCATAAGACACAGGAAAGCAGACAGGCCTACATGAGCTTTGCGAGAGGCCTGCTGGCTGGCGAAGGTATTTTAACATGCTAGTTGTCATAGCAAGTCAGTGGGATTTGAGAGCACATTTCTGTTTTGACATCTGGCCCATAACAAAATTACTATTGATCTGTTGTGAGCTTCCAGCAAGAGTATATAACCTAGTCTCAGAACAAAGCATCGTCCACTAAATAACAGACAATAATCATCCCGAATTTGTGCCTTTCATTCAAAATCGCATCTCGGCTAGTGGTGTGCTCCAAGCATTTTGGGATAAGCTTCCCATTCCTGAAGAGGGGTGTCCAGACCTTTTTTTTTTTTTTTTAAACGAATCTTCCCATTATCGAATTGATTCTGCCTTCTGTCTTCCAGAAGCCTTGTGGCAGCAGCGGGATAATGCTGACATCCACCTCCTGCACACACCCTGGTTTTGCTGCTGATTCTGGAAACTGACAGGGCAAGCATTATTTTCCAACAGATGTTCTACAGGCAGTAGAAAGAAGCAACGAAACTAATCAGTCAGAGCTGTTCTCGGAGGTTTGGGAGGGGTGAAAAGAAAAGGAAGGAAAGAAGAAGGAACAACCACAGATAGGCCTTGTTTCTCATTTATTTTCATTGCTCTAGAAAAATTTATAGGCAAGTGCCACTCACAAATGACACAGCTTTCATTAAAATGATCAGTTAGAATTTTTAGTAGGCTGTATTTTTCAGTGATACTAATAAAGCATTAGAGAACGTTTACATAATGTCATTTACCCCAAGGGAGCTAGCTCATTTTGTAGCCTGGTTCCACTAAACATTGACCATGTTCCCCACCCTCAGGTAGGTAAGTCTCAGGTGTTTCAGGCCTTGGCCATTTACATCCCCAAATATATCGCTCCTCTCCTTTTTGCAGAACGAAGCTGTATTAACCAAGTAGCTATCTGATGGTTTCTTTTGCCTGCATCAGTCAAAAAAAGACAAACAATATAGATCAAGTGCATCTGTGCTCTAGACCGCATTGATTTGTTGCATGTGTGGTTAAATCCTGTCAAGTAGTCTTAAAGGTGAAGCATTACCGGCAGAGAACCCACTCTGGGAGGGAAGGGGGTGCCATGAGTCATCAGTGGGTCTTCTAGCTGCCACTCACAACATTATACAACTTTGCCCAAACCACAAGGACATTTCATATATGTAATCTATGAGCTCCCACATCTATTTCTAGACAAGGGCTTTTAGTGAATGATTATATATAAGTAACAACTAAATAGCAAGAGGAGATGGGCTCGTATGATGATGGAGTTGTGAAGTACAATGCTGTACAAAGAGCCTAGACCAGTCTTCACCAGGGTCATGGCTACAGGGGGGAAGGTCGACCAGGTAGCTCACTCTTGTAGGAACTATTTGATCAATGCAAACATCTCTGCCTTCCCATTCCACTGTGGTCCTTGTTGGCCTGTGAAACTCTGATTTGCATAGATTAATATACTGAAGCATTGCCTATTTCTATTCCTGGCCTCAACGGATACAGTCTGTTGACAGACTGCAGCTTAAAAGGACCAATTATTTAACTAATGTTTTGCAGCGATGTCCACATGCTGACCTCAGCAATATTAAAACCATACAATTATTATACAGAGTCAGGAGTGGAAGCCCATTTCAGATTTCTCTATAGGAAACCATCAGATCACCTCAAGTGACAAAGCACAGCCAAGTGGTGATTTGAGAGAAGGAATCCATACCACTCCAGTAGCACGGAAGGCCTTTCAATAATCTCTGACTGAGAGCGTGAACAATCGCTCCTTCTTTCTGCTTCATTTCCTCCATCAAAACACAGGTGTGAGGCTCAGAATGTCTAAAGTAAATCAGACTTTTAATAAATCCTGGTATGTCTTTACTATGTGCTAAAAATTATTTAAACTCACCCCCTATATTAACAGTGTCATCAATTCAGTTCTACAAGTGGTAAGGACCATGAAGCACAGCAAACACTTACCCAAGGTTTGCCGAGGCAGACCTGATTCCAAACATTCTATCCCTCTGTACTCATAGATCACTGCACTGTCCCAGAAATGCATATATTTGAATGCCCAATTGTACCTTTAATATTTTTATTCATATTTGGGTTTGGCAAAAAAAATGGCATAATCTTATTTCTTTGGCATCCTGACTTTAGTTTTTAGAAACATAATCACAGTACCACGCTGCTAAACAGCATACCTTTCATCCCCATATGCTTCCTGTACATGAGACTCTGTAATGGTTTCATTGCCTGGGCTCTCAATAGACTCTAAGCCCTCAGGCGGGATTCTATCCATCATCTTAATCATATTCCCAATCCAACACTGTGCTTGGCACATGACAGGTGCTCAATAAACACTTGCTGAAACCTTGAATGTGAAAAACAAATCAAGGGTGGGGACATGGCTCAGTGCGTAAGAGTGCTTACAATGCAATCCATGAGGAACTGAGTCTGGATCACCAGCATTCACATAAAACAGCTAATAGTGGCTGGGGAAGAGTGGGGACCACAGGATCACTGGGGCTTGTTGACTGACAGCTTAGTCTAAAAATTAAAAGCTTGTAAGCTCTAAATTCAGTGAGAGATCCTGTCTCAAGGGAGTATGGTAGAGAGAGCAAGAAGAGGGTCTTCCTCTGGCTCTGGCACCAATGTTCCTAGAGATGCACCTACACTCATGCACACACACACACACACACACACACACAAAAAAAAAAAAAAAAAAAAAAAAAAAGAGACCTTCACCAGTAAACTCTGAAAATAAATAAATGCAATAGGGGGCTTTGCTACTTGAGAGAAATGAACTGTTCTTACAATTATACAAGTATCTGGGTCTGGAGGACACACCAGTGAATCCGTAGAGGAGGCATTAGCTTCAATGCTACCCAAAGGCCATCATCAGAATAATGATGCAAATAATTTTGCTTTCCTGTGTTCTCCTTCACAGCTGTTTAACAAACTGGATCCTTAGGATGCTTTGGGTTTCACTCTTCAAGTACAGTAACCTAAGTCAAGTTCAGTTCAATGGTTTGGTAAGCACTGCTCTTAGCAATATGAATATGGTGTCTCTTTAACCTCCCACAGGGTGGGGACAGAAACAGTAAAAAAGTGGCTGCCACCAGTGAAGTGAAGTCCAGAGCTCCAGAGTACCCTGTAGGCTCAGAAATCATGTGCATGCATGTGGCTGAGGGGTTCTCCAATCACAGGGAAAGGGCAAGGTGTGTGCTGTAACTTACTGGAAGAATTAAATACTGTCCATGAGAATGATGACTTGAGTCTCAATAGCCTTGCAGGGTTGACTATTCAATACAAAATGGAGAAAATCTACAGAAATAATGAATATTGTGATAGTTTGGACAAAATGACCCCCAAAGGCCCAAGTGTTAAGGTTTGCCCCCCAGTGTGGTGTAGTGATTTCCGCCAAACTGCATCACCCCTTCCTGGAGGAAGGGGGAAGTTCAAAACACTAAAGAAGTAAAAGATATTTATGAAGTGTTTAAAAAGTAGGAGACCCAAAGATTATAAAAACTGGGGAAAGGAGACTCGGACTGTCAAAAGCAAAGCCAGCAAGTTTCCCAGACAGCTCCAGGGACACAGCTTTTACTCATGCTGGGGCAGGCTTTCTAGCAACACAGCCATCTTTGAATGACCCATACTCCTGGAAGTAACCCCAGTAAACTCACTGTTCACTAAACTAGACTTGGGTGGGATCATTTCTTGTGTCTGTAGTCAGTGCCCTATCTGGGGCAAATAGATAAAAGTCGCACACCACCTGCAGTAGGACTCTTGGAAAGTAGTGAAATCTCAGAGAGGTGCTTAGGTCATTGGAGATATGCCCTCAAAAAAGGACTGTGGAATCCTCGTCTCATCTGTGTTTTGCTTCTGCTTCCCAGCTCATTTATAAGTGGTTTGCTCTGCCATGCTCTTCAGGCAAGACAGGCAAAGACCCAAAGCAGTAGAGATGCCCACTACTGGACTGAAACCTCCACAAGCATGAGAGGAAGCAATTCCTTTCTCTTTGTAGGGTAATTGCCTCAGGTACTTCATTATAGTAATAGAAAGCTGACTAATATAGTACTGTAAAACAGACACAAGGTTAAAAAACTATAATGCTGTTACGTTTCTTCCAAGATACTTAATAGTGTTAATTTGAACTCCTACACAGAACTGCAAAACACGGGAAGAAAGATTGCAATTAATCTATCACTTGGGAATAGTAAGTAAGTTTCTATCATGACAAAGATCAGGTGCAAAAGTTTTGAGTGGGAAAATCTACTTATTATGCTATTAAATTTGTGTACACAATCAAAATTTATAGGAGTGAGCAAGGTGCTGACTTTCACTCACACCAATCACCTGGGCGCCTCAGGCGAATGCTTCCAGAGAGAAATATGGACTCTGAAATCAATGACAAGTTGTTCCATGGCACTTTCAGCACCTCTCTCATTATTTCCCAATCCCCCAAACCCTAAATCAGACAACCCTGACAGCCCTGAGAGTTTCAATTATCTTGAGCTCAATGAGCAATGTATAATTGGGCAACCTAAAAGTTACACCTATAGGGAAAACACTGGTAGCTGAAAGGTAATCGGAACATTAGGCATGTATCTGGTCATGTATGGCTATTAAGGACTGAGCACTGTCTGAGGCACCCCAAACTCCACAATGCCTTAAGATCAGACGTCGCCCATACAGCCAGGGTACACAAAGAAAACACGGTGAACAAGAAATGTGTGCAAACAGACTGGGCTAAGTGAGGAATAGACTTAGACAAAAGACAGAGGAGAGTGGGCACCCACCTGAATGGAGAGGAGAGTGGGCACCCACCTGAATGGGGAGCTCTGAAGCCCACTGGAGGAACATGTGTGCAGGGAACTGACTTGGGAACTCAGTGATTCAGGAAGTGGGATAACAAGGAAGGTGGAAGGCTCAGAATATACAAGGACACAGAGAAGAGATTTGACAAAGGAACTCAAAATATGACATAGTCAGGAATGTCACTCATTGATGGAGACCAGCAAGGATTAGATGCTGGGGAGTGGACATTACAGAGAGTAGCAAATACAAGGATGACAGGGGGAATAAAAAACACTGAACCATTACAGCTACTAAGGGGTCAGAGGCATTCTATACCGAGTCTAAGGGCTATACTAATTTCTAAGGTCCCTTCCACCTCTGCAATTCTGAATGACTGACCCCAATCCCAATACACCAACCAGCCCCTCCCTTCAGAGGGGATAGGAAACATTCTCATTTATAAGCCAAGAGAGGGAAGAACCACCATCATCTCTCCATCAGTGCAGGTACATTAGCCAAATCCGAGCATTCTTCCTCCCATCAGAAGACCTAATGTAGCCTTAAGAAGAAATACCTACCATGGGAAATGAGTTATGACAGATCACCAACAATGCTGGTTTCATTGAGTTTACTCCATCCATAACTAGTAGAGAAAGAAACTAGGGAAAACACTTGCAAACTGCTAAGGTCTTTCTGTGTGCAAACCACTCCCACCCCACCACCAGGCCAGATAGTCTTATTAATATTCCCTATATAGAACTTGCCTAGAAGTAACTCTCCACAGTATAGTGACTCTTACAGAAGGCCATTTGCTGCTCCTGAAGCAGGAGTCTACAGGCATTAATAAGGATAAGTGC